TTCAAATTCATCTAATGACTGCTTTTTTAATGTATCCACTGATGAAGATAAAAAACTACCTGTGCCATTACCTTTAAAAAACAAAAACATGTTGAGCTGCAAACTAATAAAAGTGGCAAGTGAAGTTACTGCAAGATTTCTTCTTAGTGTCAAGGATCATGCAGCAATAATATCTGAAGGTGTTTTTCAGTTATTCTTATGAGTATAATTCAGAAAACATTTTTTGTCAAAAAAAGGAAAAGAGAAAAACCCACAGAAAGACTTTTCTTACCATCAAAAACAAAGGTAAAAAAATTAGAAATAGCCACACAAATGTTTTAATATGTAAGAAACTTGTCCTTTACTTTGACAGCAAGATGTGTAATGAATGAAGGTAAAGAATGAAGGAAAGAATGAAGGTAAAGACAGCAAGATGTGTAATGATTGACAGTAAGATGTGTAATGATTGAAAGTAAAGAATGGGATCTTGTTAAAATGAAAAAGATTTCTCTGCTAAGATTGCTCCAAGAAAATTTTAAAAAAGGCAAAGATCAAGCGAAAATATCTATTGGAAGAATTTGAAAAAAAACTGTTAAAATGGATAGGATTATAGTGACATGTCTATGTCATGACGGTGATGAACATCATGACACGTCTATGTTATGAGGTCCTGATGACGGCAGCTTCTGATGATGATTAAAGCAATGATATTCTGAGTGTTCCAAAAAAAAAATTTTCAAAGTCAAAAATGAGACAAAACAAATAAAAAAGGTACTGAGAGATTTTGAAATTGAAAATAATACTATTCCTGTTTGTATACAACTGATACAACTGCTCCAAACACTGGCACAATGAATTGCACCAGTGTTTAGAGTAATAAGTTGAATTCTGGTGAACATAGAGTAATAGTTGAACAAAGTTGAATTCTGGTGAACATTGAGTAATAAGTTGGATTCTGGTGAACAACAACATGGAGGAATTCAACTTAGCATGTATGTTGTTGGATTATTATAAAGCTTTTATGTTGTCAGCACGTATATGTGAGACATGTCAGTTATTTTGTGCAAGTACTTACAGAAAAAACAAAAACTAATAAAAAACCGATTGGAAATATTAGGAAATATTGTCTTGAAAATTTCCAAGAGGCTGAAGTTGATGACAAGATAAAAGTTGATGACAAGATGGAAGTTGATGACAAGAACGCTCATTTATAATAGATTGTTGGGAAAAATAGTTGGTATAGATTTTTTCACAATCGATCTTAATATATAAGATAAATTGTTTTGGATTCCTGATTATAGACTTGTAGATCTTTATCCCTGCTTCAAGTTTTTCAAAAATTTTGTTTCAAATATTTAGTTCATAAATGAAAATGTTTTGAAAGTTCTTGTGTAGTTCAAGATTTCCTGACAATTGACAATGCAGCGACAAAATGGTTGCTAAAGATAACAGACAAAGTATAGACTAGAAAATAATTTTGATAAACTGTAAAAATTTTTTAAAATTTAAATCAAGCAAAAGATATTTTGAAAAAAAATTTTTTTTTCTTTAGATTATGTTTCATTATTTAAAAATCAGACATTTTGAAAAAAAAAAAGGAAATATACACCTAATATTTACTAAACACATGAAGATCTAAAATTTAGCATTTTCATTACTCAAGTTATTTAACCAGGTTACCAGGATATGTTTTGAACCTTTTGTAACTGAAAAAATGTTATATTTTTGGGATGCCCTAATGCTTACACACTATTATAAAAAGAATTCTTTAGAAGTGTTCAAATCTAATCTTTAGATATATTTAAACTTATATCTTTGTGATTTGGAGTTATAGAGTTGAGAGAGGATTGTAATCACAATAAAGTAGCCTTCTATCTAAAGTAGTGGCTCTCTTGGCCTTGGGGAGGTAAAAAACATCAAAAATAAAAAAAAATTAAATATATGCATATATATAAAATCAAAACAATAATATAAAACAGATGTGGACACAGTAAAGAATCTAAAAAAAGGAAATTTTTTATATAAAACTAGACGGTAAGGGAAACCAGAGAGGAACATAAATCTTCCTAGTATCATTATATCAATACTCCTGATCTGCAAAACATGTTGATGCCAAGAAGGGCACCAGATTGTAAAAAATTTCTTTCATATTATATACTTAAATAAGAATACGACATTAGGGAAATTCTTTCAAACCACACAAATGTGGAACCATGGAAACAAAATTTCTTTTAGTTAAACTTGACTACATAAATATTAAACCATCTGAAAAAATTGTTTATATTTTTAAAATTAAAAAAAATAATTCCTAAAAAAATATTCATTATTGAAATTTATTTTATAAAGTTATTAAAGAAAAAAAAAACTTTAAACTTTTTGCATTAAAATCAAAAAGACTTACTAAGCCCAGGCACTCTTTCACCCACATTTTGCAAATGCATTTCAGGTGCAACAATATTTTTGGAAAGATCTAGCTTCGGAACCACATTAAGATCTTGCTTAGTAATAATACTGAGGTACCTTTGTAACTCTTCTATCTGATTTTTGTATTTATCTTCTTTGAATTTAGCAAGCGCATCTTCAGCAGTTGATTTTATATCAGGAAGTTTTCCAATATCTAAAAATATTTATAAAACAATTGCAACAAAATTACAAATGAGTTATATGTACAACACACCAATGCAATAACATATATCGATGTGAACATAACAGTATTGATGACAACACACCTTTATGCAGCAACGAAAATCTCAACAACATGCTTTTAAGCAGAAACACATCTTAATATATCTTATCTTAATATATTGTATATATATATATATATTATATATTATATTATATATAATATATTATATATTATATAATATATAATTTTATCTTAATATATCACATCTTAATAATATTAATACAGTAAAAATTCAATTTTCAATGTTGTTTCGCTTTCAAAAAAGCCTAATAACTAATTAAAACTGCTTTTTTTAAAGCAGTTTTAATTAGTTATTAGGCTTTTTTGAACTCGAAAGAGCGCGTTCTCAAAATGCACGAGGTCGTAAAAGAAAGATTTATCAAGCGAGTTAAAACTTTTTACCTTTGGAATTGAATTATTATTTATTCATTTAGAAATATTACATAAAGAATCATATTAAGATAAATAATCATCGTTAAGATCATGTTATAATTGAAGTAAGTATAGGAAATAGTTTAGCAATTTATAAACAACATTTTTATTAAAAATAAAGTAGAAAAGATCACTCCTTTTGATTTTTTAAACTGTTTACATTTTGTTTGTTTTAGTTTTTCTTTTAGCGAAAAAAAAAGGTAAAGAGTAATGTTTGTATATATATATATATATATATATATATATATATATATATATATATATATATATATATATATATATATATATATATTATATATATATATTTATATTTTATATATATATATATAATATATTTATATTTTATATATATATATAATATATTTATATTTTATATATATATATATTTTGTTTACTTTGAATCTTTTTAAATTTTCTCATGCCATTTTAAAAATTTTTGTTTGCACAATTCAAGTTATATATGTTTATTACTTGTATTGCTTTTTTGATAATTATGTGTATATTGTAATATGTGCTTTATAGCTGTTTTATCAATGTGTTTTTATAATAATGTAACATGTTTTTTTATTGTGTGTATGTGTTAATATGTTATATAATTGTTTTATAAATGTGTTTAAATATGTGTATATAAGGTTATATATATATATATATATATATATATATATATATATATATATATATATATATATATATATATATATATATATATATATATATAATATATCACATCTTAATAATATTAATACAGTAAAAATTCAATTTTCAATGTTGTTTCGCTTTCGTTTTTTAAAGCAGTTTTAATTAGTTATTAGGCTTTTTTGAACTCGAAAGAGCACGTTCTCAAAATGCACGAGGTCGTAAAAGAAAGATTTATCAAGCGAGTTAAAACTTTTTACCTTTGGAATTGAATTATTATTTATTCATTTAGAAATATTACATAAAGAATCATATTAAGATATAATGAATAGCCTATGAATATTAATAGTGCGCATAGTTACGCGTATTGTTTTATAGTTACGGTACGGTTCTGTATCTGTAAAATACACTTTTTAAGTAGTTTCTAGACTTTTCTTTACCGCGTGCTTACTTACAGATTTCCCTTCAACCTTTCATGGTACGAGTTCAAAATATCTAAGTTGACATTAAGTAGATAATGTTTAGTAGCTTAAAATCATAGGTAATCTAAATTTTTTTTTTAATTTAAAAGTAATTAATTTATTGTAATCTTTTTTAAATTGTAATTTTAAATTTAAAGCTTCGTGTTATAGATTACTTTAATTCTTAATTTGTGTCTAGCGTTAAAATATATTTATGGGTAGTTTCATGCTTTCACTTAGTTTTGGTTATTGGGATAAAAGCCATGACAATATTTTGTTATAAATTTATCTTAATTTAATTTTTATTGAAAATTTTGTTATAAATAAAATTTGTCTTTAATATTGTTAATACTGTAGCTCTTTGAAAAAAAATATGTTTCTGGCTCTTCAATAAATATACAATTATTTGTCTTGCATGAATGAATTTTGATTTAGGATTTAATTGTGTTAGTTTATGTTTGTCTATCTGTAATTTATTTAGGTTATTAGAAAATTCATGTTTACAGAGTTGTTATAAATCATAATCGAGTTGTTAAACCAAGGAAATTGTGGAGGTTTATTTATCATATATACTATATATATTATATAATTATATTGGAGGGAGTAAGTTTAGAAGTCTTTTTAAATTTTTAAAAAGAAATAAAAATACTTTTCAATATATATCTGTTTTCTTTGAGGTAGAATTAAAGTTTCAGTTTTTTAAAACTTTAAATTAACTTTACAATGTTAAAATGGTTTAAACGGATTTTTGTAAATGAATTTAATCCTCAAAGATTAAATTTTTTTTATTATTGAAGAAATTAAACTAGATTTAAGAATAAGTCGACTTAAATGTTTGTTTGTTTTTCTATTTAGATAATGACAATATTGAAGCAAGTAAGTTAAAAAGCATTTTTAAATTTTTAAAAAGAAATTTTTTCTTTGTTTTCTTTGAGGTAGATTTAAAGTTTCAGTTTTTTAAAATCATATATATTTTAAAATCCTATATATAACTCATATATCTTTGTTTTTCTATTTAGACGTTGGTAATAATATGAAACAGGTAAGTTATAAAGCATTTTAAAATTTTTAAAAAGAAATAAAAATACTTTTTATTATATATCTGTTTTCTTCGAGGTAGATTTAAAATTTCAGGTTTTTAAAATCATATATATTATAGTATTAAATTCTTTTTTACTTTAAAAATATCTATATTATAGTTACACTGAGTCGTAGAAAAAAAATTAAAGTTTATTAATAAGGTAGTAGATTATTAGAGTAGATTAAATTGTTTGATCTATTAATCAACTTAATAACGTACTATTAATATGAAGATTTATTTTGGTTGTTTGTTTGTTAAAATTTAGTTATAGTTTATTAAAAATTTAAATTCTTTAGTTAATCAAGAGAGATCTAATAAAGGTATTAATTACATTAGTTGAATGTGGCATTTAATATGTATTTTATCGATATAAGGAATAAAATAATAAGGAATAGAAAAATTTTAAAAATTTGCTCTGGAATTTGTCAAAAGAGTGTTGTGTTATGCTTCATTTTAAGGTATCTAAATATATATTCATTAAAAATTTTTAATTTTGTTTTTAAATGGTTTATTCTTTTTCACTACTTTAGATAAATATATACTGACTGACATAACTTCATTTTTATTAACAATGTCGTGCATTGTAGTCTGCATTCTTTGTTACATTAAAAATAATTGATGCTAATAAATGTTTTTTTATAGTTGTTAAAAGTTTGCATATATGTTTGCATTTATATTGTGATCAAAGTTAAAATTTTTTTGATAAATACGTGTATGTGGTGATACTACTCAGGTATCACCGCAGCTTATCTCTATCAGGTACATTGATTTTTAATTCACATATGATGTTTTTCTTTGTATTTACTTATTCATTACATTTTTAACTTCAGATTTATGGTGTATTTATTTGCTATAGAAGAACAAATCATTTTGAATTTTTTAAAAATATCTACACCAATCAACATTTAAAATTCAATGTAGCATATACCAGCTTCTAGGCTTTTTTGATGCTTTTCTTATTCAAGTGGTTTCATAAGCAAGGTCTACAAGCAAATTTGAGATAAAAAGTTTTTCAGCTTTCAAGGAGTATCAATGTTGTTCTCTGTATACTTTAATTTGTTTAAATAGAGTAGTTTTAGTAAATAAATGTTTGTTTGTTCTTGGTTTTTTACTTATTTGTTATCAGATTCTTAAGAATTAATCAACTTAGCAAGCAAGATTTATTTTATTTTTTAGTGCAATTGGAAAGAGCTAAAGTGCTTTTTAGTTACTTCAAATCATTTGTTTTTATTTTTTAAATAGAAGGGTTAATAATAAAAATATTTAGACAGTCGAACTGTTACTGATTTGAGTAAGTTTAATTTTTTGTTTAATTTTATATTAGATATATATTTTATGTATTTAACATGAAAAACTGACTGTAATTTTTGACAGGTAAGTTTATATACTTAAATGTGCCTATATATCGGAATATTTTATATTTCTCTGAATCTATATGAATATTATCTCAGAAAAAATTAAGAATAGAAAAAATTTGAATATATATACATACATATATATTACTTTAGACTGACATTGCTTCATTTTTTATACAAGATTCTGCATTTATTATTTTTGTGCATTAAGATTGTGCCTGAAGGCTTTCTTAATTTAGCAAAGAATTTAGAACACAATGCAAATAACTTTGCACTGTGTTCTAAATTCTTTGCTAAATTAAAATAATGTAAATAAATTTTGTTTTATATTTTTCAGTTGTAAAAATATAAAACGTTCATTTATTCAGTTGTAACAGTAGCATAACCACTGGTAATATATATTTAATGATAACAGATTTATAATATTAGGCTCGAAGAAGTTATTAGTGTAAATGGTTATAGGTGACTTGAAATTGTTGTCATATGAAAGAAATAGATCTAGGCATGATAAAATTAATTGTCGTTGAAATATAAGAAATTTTGCTTGATGAACCAAAAACTTACTTGGCAGAATTCAGTGTCAAGCGCTGTTGATGTCAATTATTTGACTTTACATTAGACACTTTAAAATAAAGCAAAGTATGAATTTTACTATTTATAGTAACAAATAATAAAAATTTCAGTTTTGAATGTTTTTTTTTTTTTTTTTTTTTTTTTTTTTTTTTTTTTTTTTTTTACTTTTGTAATCTTAATATAATTGTTCATTTTTTTTTTAGTTGTCTTTGTCATCACTTGATTATTTTGCTTACTGTTGAAACATGGTTTTAATTTTGTAAATTTAATATGATGTGAAATTTACAATATTAATCATTTGTCAACAGTTAGAAGCTGGAAATAAATTAAGAAATGCTGGAAATTAACTTTTAGTTAAGGTAAAAATAATTTTGTTTATTGGTAGCATAATAA